CAGTTCAGGCTTCAAACAGGCCAAAGCCTGGAGAGTGAGGTCAGTTACCCCTGCTCCCACCGACCCCCCAAACAGCCATCCACACACCTGTGGGGCTCCACAGGCCCGCTCCCAACACCCTAGCAAGGTCTACACAAGTCTCCTACAGCGGGGACATTATCACTTACACTGGGGCTGGGGCTGGAATACCCTTCACAACCCCTCCCCACCAAGCCTCAGCACACACTCCTCTAAGAAGTCGCAAGCAACAGCCGTTTTGCCACCACTGCACCATAGCGACTCAGGATAGGAGCTCCTGGAGGGTCACTCTCCCTTTCCAAATTCCCAAGAATGGCTAAATAATAGGCATTACACTAAAATGTGCTAAAGCAAGAGTTACCATTAGGCACCAAACAAAATTGCTAATGTACTTGCACTAAATACATAAAACAATCTGATACTAAAAATGGGGTAAACAGAAAAGGCATCCTACAAAATGCAGATATAATAGAACTCCTATCACTAGGTTCCAAAGTTACTTGGATATAAAATTTACAAAATAAGTAACAACTTCTTTTAAAAGTTTTCATATACGAAGCAGAAGCTATTTCTAAAAGGTTATCCTGCTTGGCATGGTGGTACATGCTAGTAATCCCAGTACTTGGGAGGCTGAGGCAGCAGGATCACCACAAGTTCAAGGCCAGCCTGAACTACATAGCAAGAAAGCAAATAAATAAATAAATTGATATCTTCATTTCAGATAATCAATTCATATCTGAGATAGATCCCATTATTACTTTATGTGGCCTGACTTTCAAACCTCACCAAAGGAAAGACCTTATGACATCATTTAACTCCCCCAAAATGAAACTGTTTACAGGTCCATGACAACACTCTGCAAGTCTAAGGAAGGATGACCCCAAGTCTGAGCCCTGCCTGGGCAATGCAGCCCTTAGCAAGACTATCTCAGGCAGCACAAAAGGGCTAGCGGGTATAGCTCAGCAGAGCCCTAGGTTCCATCCCCAGCATCACAAATAAATAAGAACAAAAGAACATGTTTTCTTTTTTTTTTTTTTTCTTTTCTTTTTATCGGTACCAGGGATCGAACTCATGACCACCTGCTTGCAAGGCAGGTACTTATGCTGCTGAGCTAAATCCCCAGCCCCAAGAACATGTTTCCTTTTTTTTTTTTTTGGTCTTTTTCCTTTTTTATCGGTACCAGGAATCGAACTCACGACTGCCTGCTTGCAAGGCAGGCGCTTATGCCGCTAAGCCAAATCCCCAGCCCCCAAGAACATGTTTTCTTACAAAGCAATTGTTTGATTTCAAGAACTGAGTTTTGCAGTTAGTACATCCTTCCTCTTACTGAACAGCAGAATCATTAATAAAATGACCAGGAGAGGAGACCATCACTAGCTTTTTTATTTTACGTACGTTTATTGGGGTGTGAAGAGCAAAATGTCACCAACTAAGAAGTCTTGCCTAACTGTTCCAGGAACCCTATGCCCTGGAAGAGCTGGTGTTACCAGTAGCTGCACAAAATACTGCAGGTAGACCCTTTCCAATTCTCAGCCAAGATATGGACAACTATGATACTGTTAATTATTAAACATTGAAGCATCCACCAATACTGTAACCGAATGTTAAAGTTTGCCATAAATTTAAGTCCTCACTTGTTCAGTAACATGCTGACACAGACTGAAATATTTCAATTATAAATGTGTATTTTAACCAGCCATTGTTATGGAATGTAAATGCACGTGGTCAAACAATCATTTCTCAGGGAGACAGACTTCTCAAACAAATTTCAGTGTGTTTTATGAAAAAAAAAAATTTGAGAAATGTATTATTAACGCCAAAAATCAAACTAAGATAAAATAAAATAGAATACAAGCTGTCAAATGAAAAAAGAGACTACTCATAACTAATAATAAAAAAGAAAACTCAGGTAGAAAATTTGACTGTAATACACACAATTCTTCCTCTAAATTTAAAAGTTAAATATTTGTCAGAAGTGCTCTTTTGTGAAAATTCTCACAATTTTAAGTTCTCTGGACAAAACAGAACTTTTATTTCCCAGGCCCTCTTACAACTCAAAATATGCTGAATGACTCTGCAAAGAATTAGCTCCTCTACCCTGACAGAAACTCTTGGCTGATGAATTCATGAGCTGCATGCACCTCAACGGAAAAGTTAACAGCCCAAGAAACTTTAAGAGTAAAACAAAGTAAGAACACTGACCAGGAGGACATGGTGTGAGAGCTATTTTACACATTCCATTTTTTAAAACTTGTACAACTAGCCAAAAACTCATTAACTAGGTCTTTAAACAATTTTGCAATAAACGTTCCACCTGAAAAACTAAAAACATTATGCATTTAAAACATTTGACAAGCAATTTCAAAGAGCCTGAAACAGTTTAGAAAAATCATTTTATTGTATAAAGCCTTGGGGGATAAAGACGTTTGTAATTTATTTACATCTTTTACTTCATTGAATTGCTTTGGTGACCAAAATTCTCATTAAGTGATTAAAGACACAAACTCAAATAGTTGAGACCACCAAATCCTAACCACTAGACCACCAAGGAGTATCTCAAATAGTTGAATAAGGCAATAAAGTCCTTTCAACAGAAGTGCATTTTAAAATACTGTATCAGAAAAATGTCTCTTGCTATGTTAGTCTGAAAGTAGTACCACTGCCTGGAACTCAGTCAGGTTCAGAGACACCAGCGGCATTTGACAAACGCTAGGTTAATGGTGGCTTCTCTCCTCTGCTGGAAGCAGAACAGTGCAGCTTCTGGAATCTAAATAGCCCGAGCCCCACTTCACAGGTAGATGTGAAAAGCTCTCCTAAGGGAGCCAAGGCCCTGACACTCTCCCCTCTGGAGTCTCTTCTAGCCAACTGCTTAGGTTACACAAGTGACATCAAGATTGCTTCCAGGCAATTGATTGACCTAAATACAAAGTTTGGAAGAGGAACTAGGTTGGCCTGGTTAAAAACAAAAAAAGAAAGAAAACAAATTGAATATAACCAAAAACTTCCGCACAGTATTATTTTTTTAAGCAACTTCTTTTTGCCTGTAACAAGCAGCACAAACTTCTTCAGAGTCTGTCACCCCTAATTCATGTTATTCTGTTCACACCATCCAGCTTATCTAACAAGGCTGCTTTAATTATTTTACCAAGTCCTAACTCTGGGGCACTCCTGACAACAGTCCTTACAGAAATACTTCCAGTGCTGCATTAACAAAGCCCAGAACTTTTTTCCTTAAGTTTCAAACTTCTGGAAGATGAATGATTCCTGACAAGATGGCAAAACCTTTACATTTCAAAGTTACTTTCTCTTTAGAGCAATAAACAAACATAGATGTCTGCCTCAGTTAAAAACCCAGTGAGTTTCAAAGTTAACAGGGCTGAAACTTCACAGCCAAGAGGTTCAGTGGCTTGCTTTCTCTGAAGGCTGGGTGGGGCCTCTTCCAGGCTGTCAATGGATCTTTTAGGCCGTAGGGCCTGGCCCGCTTACTCCAGCCTCTGTTCTCCATAACTGGCAAAGGAATGGGAAAGTTTAACAGTTCATTTACCCAGCACAATTCTCAAGCTGTCACACTGGAGCGTTTGTCTCCGCAGTCTGGCTGGCTGATCCAGGTCCCCACCTGACAGTTTTGGTCCTTGTTACTCCCCTAACTAACCAACCAAACACCACTCCCCCAACCCTCTCCTTTCCACTCCAGCCTCTGACGTCACTCCAGCCGCGGCAATCCCTTTCGGAGAGCCTCCAGACAGGTTTTAATACTCTGCACATGTGCTTTCGCTAGCACCTAACTGTTCCAACACTGTTGTTCTGCGGACCGGACCCTGCGCACTGCTGCAAGTGAACACCCTAAATCAAACACGAGAGGAAGAAGGCACTGGGAGACAGTGCTCACCAAAGAAGGGACAAGATCAAAGCCACAGGATCCTTTCTGGGATTAGAAAGACAGAAACAGCCTTTCAGAGCTGAGCTGTCTGGAGATGCCAGTAAATTCTTGCAAACCTCTGCCAGTCTTCCATAGACTTGGTAAACATCTACAAACCACCCATGATTCTGCAAATGTCACGGCTCCATCCGGCAAAATGAAAACTCAGAAACACTGCCGGATGCCATTCTTGGGATCCCTGAAAAGGTGGCCAGTGCACGATTCTGTTTCATTCCTTTCTCCTCATATTAAATAATCTTGTCAGAGAATGAATAAGCATTTAGATTCGAACACAGCACCCAACGTTTAAGCAAAAAAAAAAAAAAAAGAAGCAGCCTCTTGCACGCGCTAACCCCTAACCGGTCAGGAGGTCAAAAGGGTCAGTCATCTCCAGCAGGATGGCCAGCTGGAGCCCCCGTGCCACCGTCCCGAAACATGGGGAATACACGTCATTATCCGGTCAGCAACTGAAAGCAAAGAAAATCAAGCCACCAATTTTCCAGAAGATCCCCGCCTCAGCCCAAATCCAGCCCCGTCAGCAAGCCCTCCACTTCAAGTCCCAGAATGAGACACCTGAGGGTAAACAAATGGACAAAGGTTAACAAACTTGTCTAATTCCGACAAGGAAGGTTGTGCAACAGGGAAAGAATCCGCAGGATGCCCTTCCTGGGGATGTTTTTCAACAAGCCTGCTCTGCAGTTAGGTCTGCAGCTCAAACTACAAGCACTGGCCTCGCTACTCAACTTTCTGCCCTGGTCCACGAAGAGCAGCACCTGAGCTCAACAGCGTAAATAGTAAAGGAGCACTCGAGCACCAAATGTTTGGCTTCCGAAGGTCAACACCGAGCATTCTCGCGCGGAGCCACGCCAGGGTTCTCCCTGCCTCGCCGCACACCACCGAGCCCAGGCGGGAGGGCCGCGGGCAGGCGGGGGCGAAGGCAACCGCGGCGCGGACCTCACCCCAGATCGCGCCCGCGGAGGTCCACACCGGGGCGCGGCGGGGCCGGGCTACCGGGTGGGGCGTCGCGGGCCGGCGGGAGAAGCGGGGTGAGGGCGGGCCTCACCTGCGGGGTGCGCTCAGCCGGGTTCTTCATCACCGCCTGGCGGAAGCTGTTATCCACGTAGGACGCCATGGCCGCGGGCCGCGCCGCCGCTCCTCTCCGCCCGCCCGCTCGCCCGTCCGCCGCTCGCTGGGGTTGGGGACAGAGGCGGCCGGGCCGCGGGCCGCCGGGCTGCGGGGCGGGCACGGAGCGGGGCGGGGCCCGGCTGGTCGCTCCGCCTCCGCCGCCGGCTCGGCCGCCGGGCGCCGCTCAGGGCCTGACGCTGCGGAGCGCGCGCGCTGCGGTGGCCGCCGCCGCTCCTGGTCGCCGGCTGTTGGGCCCGGCCGCGCCCCCCGACTGCTGCTGCATCCCCCCGGGCCGCGCCGCTGCCGCCGCGCCTCCGCCCATGGGCGCCGGCCCGGCTCGGCCCGCGCGGCTCCGGCTCGGCTCTCGGAACTTCGCTCTCGTCCGGCGGAGCGGGAGGGCGTGCGAGGCCGCGAGCGGGTGAGAAGGCGAGCGAGGCGCCCGAGAGCGTGTGGGAAGCGACGACTCCCCTCCTCTTCCTCCGCCTCTTCCTCCGCCCGCGCCGCGGCGGCAGCGCGAGCCGCTCCTCAGGGAGGAAGCGGCCTCCAGGGCTTGTTGCTTTGTGCTGCAACCATGGTGAGCGCCGAGTGACGAACCGCCGGACCAATGGGCGGCCGCCGCTTCACAGGGGCGGAGCAGGCCTATGCCGGGGCCCGCCCCCGCGCCTCCCTGCGCACGCGCTGGTGAGCTGCGCCCTGGGCCGCGGGTTGTCGTGCCCGAGGGAGGTAGTGGCTGGGGCGGCGCCCGGCGCCCCTGAACCCTTAGGAATGGCAGCGCGCGTCCCCTCGGCGTTGGGCCCCCTTGGTTCTCACGGCGGGTGCCCTGGCGTCCGGGCTGGGCCATGACGTCGTGGCTGGGTCTAGTGCGGACTCAGCCACCACGAGGGCCCCGCTGGCGGAGCCGAACCCCTCCCACTCGGGTTTTGCTTTCTTTGCGCCGCGCGTGCTCAAGTCTGTTTTGGTGTCTGCATGGAGGCTGAGACAAGGCTTGGTTTTTTTTATGACCAGCCACAGTGAGCTTTTTAAAGACTGTCAGACATGCATTTTAACATCTAGTTTGTTTAAACGCTCTGAAGAGGTTGTCAGCTCCTGTTGGGAGTCTCTAAGACACCTGGGTGACAAACAGATTTGCATGGTTACTTGGAGAAATAACCTACTTTGGGGATTTTATGTATAGTTTTTGGGGGTTTGTTTGTTTGTTTGTTTTTAGGTAGTCTGACCAGGTCACTAAGTTGACTAGGCTGGACTCAAATTTGTGGCCTTCCTGCCTCTGCCCTCCAGGGTGCTGGAATCACACCATGTGCCATAGCACCTAACCCTAATATTTCCTCGCCTGTCAATTGAGCACCAACATCAAATTCTGTATCACAGACCACCATTGTGCCAGCAAAGGAATTTAGTGCCATTGCCCTCTGTAGGAGGGGCAGGATTCAAACTCAGTGAAGTGAAAAAATATACCTGACATCTCCACCTGGTGTCTGTAGACATCTCAGAATGAAGAAGCATAGACTGGGTTCCTTCCCTCCTGCCCTAAACATGTTCCATTCACCGAATTCAGCAAACCAATGAAGCCCTCAGCAGCTAAAAAAAAAAACAGGACCTTCCCTCATTTTGTTTCTCTGACACCCCTCAAGGGCCAGTGAGACCTGCGATCTCAGCTCAGCCTTCCTGGCACCGTACCGCGCTCAGCCTCTGTGTGCCAGCTCCGTGGCTGTGACCCTGCTACGAGCCAGCGCAGCTTCTTCCTGCACTGCGGCCCTCCAACGGTAGGTCTTTGAGGACACAGCCAGGGTGACTCTCCTCAGTTCCCCAGGACACTGTGAAAGCGGGCTCCTGGCCAGGGACGACTGCCTGTGGACTTGCCCCCTGCCTCCTCCTAGTTAACTCTCTCCAACCCGGTCTCCAGTGGCTCTTATCCCTTCTCATGTGCAAAGGCACGTTAGACTCCATGGTGTCTCAGGAACCATGGGCAAGTTCCATCTCTTGTCTTTTCCATCTCTCATTTCTACTAGTGTGGATTTACCTTCCACCGGCCTGGCAGACCACACCCACCAGCACAAAGAACAACAGTACCCAGAAAAGTACAAAAAGTACCATGTTGTTTCTCACCTCCTTCACATCATTATTCAAGATATCATCTTTCCAGAACTCTGCACACACTCATTCTCTTCCTGGCTTTATTTGCTGCCATCTAACATGTATTTTAGGTTTTTCTCTCCCTCCACTATAACGTAGGCTTCTAAAGCCAATGGTTTTCATTCGTTCTTTTCATTGACAGTGATGTCTTCAGTACATAGGCAGTTTTCAAAAATGTATTGAAGAGATAAAATACATTAGTAACCATCATGTTACTCTGTGTTTCCCTTAGATGGTTACATATGTTGTCTCACTTAGATCCCTGGTTGAGAAGAGGAGGCTGGAAGAGAAGATTAACCTTTTCCAGCCCATTTTGTGTTCTAAAAAAAGAAAATAGCTTTATGTACTTAAGATTTGTGAAGGTTACATATAGTGTATGCAGAGTCTCTTGCACAGTGCTTGAGTACATACTCATCAGATGGTGGTTATTTTCAAGATCGTTGGTATCATCCCCACCCTTTGAGGTTACTGGAATAGTTATTATCATCCTACTTGCAGATGAGGAAACTGACAGTAAAATGGGCCATGTGACTTGCCCCAGTTCCAGACCTGACTTTAACTTTGGAAGGTCTGGAGGGAGCTAACAAATGGACTCACACGCCCTATCATAAATCCAAAGAGCTACAGTTGAACTTTGGGAGGAGGGGTATTGCCACAGGGAGTATCAGCTTTTGGTCTGCGTCTCCTACCCCTTTCTTTCTGTTGGGGTTCCATCATGTCCCACAGAAAGGATCATACATAGGAGGACAACCCAGCCTATACCTCCAAGCTAATCCTGCCCCCTACAAGAGCCACCCCTTTGGGTTTCCTCTGGGCCAAGGTAAAGCCTTGGAAGAGGGCTGGAAAGAGGGAGAGTAATGGGGTCAGATGCATGAGGCTTCTCACCCTACAGGCCAGGGGAAGCAAGGACATGAGCAGCAATTCCTCTGAGCCAGATCTCAGCCATATGGCTGTGAGTTCTGGTTGCAAATCAGCTCTTTTCTTTATTCTGGCGCTGTGCTATGATGCTGTCCTGTGACGCTGGATTGTACTTGACCCAGGTAAGGCATGATAGATAGTATGTCTTAGCCACCAACAAAATGATTAACTCACTGTCACCTTCCAGGGTATCATTTAACTTCAATTAAACCTCGTTTCCCCACCACGTATAATCTACTTATCTACATATGTCAACAATGCTATCAGTGCTCGGAATCTAGGACACCTGATACATGACATGAATTGCTGTTTTATTAACACTGGAGCACTCACTGCACACGATGCAGAAGATGGAATTAGACACAGTTCTGAAAATCTGCCAGCTACTCTGCACCCAATTGTGTCACAAGCCATAATCAAAGTAAACTCTCTCTTAGCCTGCCTCAGAAGGCAAGTATAAAAATGAAGAGTTTTGTTCTTTGTTCACCCAGTTATCTAGAAAATCATTAGGGGATAGACTACTTAGTTTTAGGTCCAGAAATACATTTTAGGTTCTGGCCTTAATACCATTCTACATTCTAACTGTAAAATCACATACATCCATAATATGTCATATAGGTTATGTATCCAGAGTCATTTCTATTAAAAAAAAAAAAAGCCCCATGAGTCCAGCTATAACACAAGATAATAAAAAGAAAAGAGGAAAAAAGCTCATTTTATTAAATAAGAAATAGAGTGGGTAATCACTTTGCGTGGTACCTCGGAGGAGGTAAAGGTCCTCCATGGAATGTAGTGGTGAATAAGATACCTGGGGCCCCCTTCCAGGCGCTGGTTGACATTACCACCTCGAAAAAGGACAAGAGTAAGAGAGGGGACCCCAGAGCTGCCCAGCTCCACCCAGAAGACCAGTCTTCCTGTCGCCATCCCACTCCTCAGCAAGGTTTCTGGCCAAGGGGTTCAGTTCTACTACAGACATTTCTCATATGCCGTCCTTGCCCTTGGAAACTTTTTTAAACACTGTTTTTCATTTTCTCTGAGTCTTGCACTCAAATCAGTAAGAATCGCAGAAGGTTCAGGGCCTATGCTGGCTATCCAGAAGCACCTGTGGCTGGAAAGAGTGGATTTACCTGCAAACAGCATTCCAGAGACTCCCTGGCCAGGAGTACAGTTACCTGCTCTAGGGTTCTGAAGCCAGCTAGATACGGGGTATCAGCAGCGCAACTTAGAACCTCAGGTTTGATTCTACAGGCAACAGAATCAATTCAGAGAGGAAGAATGGCCATGTAGGTAAGAACTACCCTACTACAGATTGCATGTAAGTGTGTGGTTGTTTTGAAGCTGATTCTAGAAAAAGAAACCCACTTCCCCGATCTATCAAAGTTATTCCCTGGCTTCTTCTCTGGACATAAAATCAAATGTGTAAGTCAACTAATGTGCAAGTTAACAGAGCCACTCTCTTCAGATACACTGCTTGATCCCTCACCTGACATTGCAGCTTTGCTCCATCAGTTTGAAGTCTCGAGGCCATGGGAGGGAGCAACCTGCTTTATTTTCCTTCTTGTGAGAAAGCTGAGGCTGGTATTTCTGAAAGGAAATGAATGCACTGTTAAATGTTTGTAGATTCTGTCTGTTGTTGCCTAAGTGTTTGCATTTATTTTATAAATTGCCCGTGGAACTGTGGTCCAAAATTAGCCTGCCAGTCTTAAGGGAACCTGCAAAGAAGCTTAAGTAAGGTATAAAAATCAGTGTCTTTTTAAGCTTGAAAATAAGTAAAATTAAGGATCTCTGTTAAAATCTAATACCATCACATGATCAGTAAGAGTAGTCAACCTATAGTTTTGTTTTATTTTACTTTGCTTGTTTTTTAATTTAATACTTAGGATTGAAACCAAGGCCTTTGCAGTGAGCTATAGCCCCAGGCCCTTACCTTTTGTTGCTGTTTTGGTTTGGTTGATTGGTTTGTTTTTCAGCACAGAGTTTTGCTAAGTCACCAAGTTACCCCAGGCTGGGCTAGACTTGCCACCTTCTTGCCTCAGCCTTCCAAGCTTCTGGGATCCTAGGCATATAATGCAAAAGCTTTTAAAGCCCCCCTGGATAACTTGGGGGTGGGGGGGACCATTTCAAACAGGCAACATTAACCCAGTGAGAAAATTCTGTTATAATGGAGCATTGTCTAAGATCATATCTGGGTTTCTTTTTCTTTCTTTCTTTCTTTTTTTAATTTTATTTAAGGAGAAAAAAAGAAAAAAAAAACAGAAAAAGGGTACAAGTTATACAGAATTTCAGAAAAAATAAACAGTAGGAAATCACTAGTTAATTACATATTGTCATCTTAGAAATAGTTGTTGAAGTTACAAAATTAAAGCATATAGAGGGGACTGTTCAATGATCCAACAAAACTCAGTAATATGGTTATCTATCTTATACACTTAAATATATATGCAGTTACATCTTTTAGAGGACTTTCTTTTCCTTTCTTTTGTACAATGACAATTACACATTTTGGGTTTTATTACTCCCACAGTTCATATCTGGGTTTCTTTGGTTATGTGGAGGTGATTATACACACCTGAAATTACATCCACAGCAAGCCGGCATGCAGGGAAAGAACTTGCAAGTGCTCCAAAGAAGATCAGCTGCAATCATTGCCAGCTCTGGTCTCCAGGTGGTATCCAAGGGTAAATGCAAGCGTGCTAGAATATAACTGTCTGCTGCGGGCGTGTCCAAATCAGACAAGGTCATCTGAGCAACAGCAGAGAATTGGTGTTCTTGGCCAGCTGTGACTTCTAAATGCCAATACTAATAATCATCCTGAAGTTATGATTATTTAATGTTTGTCAAATCCAAGACCGGTGCTAGGCACCATCTGTACGTAAACAAAGACAAAGCGCCTATGCACTGAGTTTACAAATCTGAATGAAGCAAAAGCAGTGAAGGGCAAACAAGGGCATGGGAAGTGCGCATGGAGGCTGCTTAGATGAGGCTGCTGAGCCCAGATTGTTGCTTTTGTTCTCACGATCAGAAAGTCCGTCATGTGGCCATACGGAAATGTAAAGGCAAGTGGTCACAGGAGAAAAGCACACTGCCTTTTTGAGGTTGCAAGAGGAAGTCTAAAATACCACAGGACAAAATGGACCGAGTTAGAGACCTCAAGAAGGAAAACACAAGTAAATGGCAGAAAGAGAATAAAGGAATGCAATATGGGGACTGGGTAAAGGTGACACCCAAAGTATGCAAACAGGACGTTTATTCTCTTCTGGGGCAGCTGTAGCTGGCCCTGGCTGACGTCAGTATGTTCCATATGCTCACCTTTTATTTATCCTATAAAATAAGCCCTGCCGAGGATAAGGGCGTATAGAACAGAGTTCAGTTTCCCCTTAACCTTATCTCACCCAGAAGGGATGAGCTTGTGTCTCAAAGCATCTGGAGCTAATTGCACCAAATTGCAGCCTCATAAAGCTCATAAGGTGATATCCACGGTACTCCACCCTGCCCTGGCCCAGTGCCTCGCAGACAGACCTGTGACACAGCCTGGGGCCACGCTGGCGTGATTAGAGCAGCAGGACTGCTCCTGCAGTCCGTATCATCAGGCAGTAAATTCCAATTTACCCAACACAATTGAACATATAAGTGATATAATGAGAATCTGACCCAGACTGTCCTGAATTCGAGCTGCATCCCCAGCTTCTATTGTTCTTAAATTAGCATCTCACAAACTTGTGCTGGGTGGGCTCTGAACTTCCAGCACTTTTACCTCAGATCAATCACAGGTGTGTGCACCAGCCTGGGAGGCTGTAAGGGTACAGTCATGCCGGCCCCACAGCCTTGGATGCAGAGCACAGTCTTTCTGGGGATGTCTCTGCTCTGTAAAATGTGTTTAGTAATCTCCTTCCTGCTAAATTAACATGACAGTGACTCAAAACAGAATTAATGAAAGTAAATACTCTAAATCATCTCTCCCTTCTCCCAAAGAGGGATTGCGTTAGTCATGGAGTATTTATCCAGCCCTTCAAGTTTCTAAGAAAGATTTTAGGCTAAAAATATACCAGTCTGTCTCATTAATTCTGCAGAATCTTAAATTTGGAAACCAAAGTGGTGGCCAGGCATGATGGCGCTTACCTGTAATTTCCAGCACTCGGAAGGCTGAGGCAGGAAGATTGCTGTGAGTTTGAGGATAGGCTGGGCTACAAAGTGAGTTTAAGTCAGCCTGAACTGCATAGTGAGACCCTGTCTTGAAAAGACAAGAGAAAGAAAGAAAGAAAAAGAAAGAAAGATCAAAGTTACCTTTATTTCACTTATTGTTGTAACTCAGAGCCTGAAGTATAAATAAGTTTCCATCTGGATCAGTGCTCCTACCTGTGGGTGACCCCCACTTTGACAACCCTGAAAGTGCTGGCAATCCTGGAAAGTCTTAAGTTCCACGGGGCAGAAGAGCAGCAGAATATCAGACTGGCCATGCCTGGAGCCTGAAGGCATTTCTGCTGTCATTAAAAACTAGAATTCACTCTTACAAATCAGCAGGTTCATGATCACTTCATAAAAGGAAGGAACAGAGTCAATTAATTTGTGTGTTATTTTGCCATTTTTAAATACCAGAATTATTGATCCCAAATTACTAATATAAACAAATCGATGCACAACACTTAAGAGATTAATTCCAGGAGAATGTACAGTAAAATCAAATAGAGACCAAATTTCGTTGTATTCAAAGAAAATAATCACAGTGATAAGTCTGTAACATTAGCAATTCCCTAGTTTTAAAAAGATTTTAAAAGCCAAATCATTCTGCCCTATACTCTAGGCCATGACAGGCCAAAGATCGGTACTCCAGGGCCTCCCCGACCGCAGGGCCCCTGCAGCTCTGTGAGTCAGAAATGAAGCACTGAGGGACAGAGATAATGAAATCCACACAAGATCTGTAGCCATGAGACTAAGCCTCAAAATTGTCCTCAAAAATGGAGAGCAAGGGGGCTGGGGATTTAGCTCAGCGGCATAGGCACCTGCCTTGAAAGCAGGCAGTCGTGAGTTCGATCCCTGGTACCGATAAAAACAAAAAAGACAAAAAAAAAAAAATGGAGAGCTGTACCCCACTCGGACTGGAAGACTCGATGTCATATATGAATCAGTAGTAAGTATTCAGTCCATTTCCCCAGCTTGATTTATCAAATCAGTGTAATCACAATCAAAATCCCAGCAAGCTTTTCAGTAATCATCGACAAGTATATTCTAAAATTCATACAGTGCCAAGAGCATAGATCAGTGGTAGAATATTTGGCTATGCACAAGGTCCTGGATTTGATCTGCAGTACCACCACCACAACAACAACTATAATTTTAAAAATTCATAGAAAAGGGCAAAACACTTCTGATAAAAAAAGGAGGAAGTTGAAGTTCTTTGAGGCTGAAAGACTCATTACACAGCTACATCCATAAAGGCAATGTGCCAAAACCAGGCATGGTGGTGCATACCTGTAAATCCCAGCCCTTGGGAGACTGAGGCAGGAGGTTCACCATGAGTTCTAGGCCAGCCTGAACTTTATAGTGAGACCCTCAAAAAACAAAAAGATAATATGACAAAACAGTGGGCCTAAACACTGATGCAACAGAATAGAAAAACCAGAGACAGATCCACAGAAAGAGTCACCTGGTACTGGATAAAGGAACAAGGAAAATCTTTTCATCAAATGGTACTGGAAATGCTTTGAGATTCAAATGTAAAGCAAACGGACTCAAATTTAAACTCCAACTCTTTCTTGTAAATGCTCTCCAAATAGCCCCACGTCCTGGAGGATGACACCGTCATCGGCTCACGCAAAACCAGGAGTCACATCTGACTCACTTTCCACCCAGTCCCAGCCCAGCCAGTTGTCACACTGTGTTGAATCACACAGCCAGCCCTCCCTGGCCATCCCTGAGGCCTCTGCTGCAGCTCAGATCTGCATTCTTTGAACCTCATTTCCTGCCAAAATCACCTGAGAAATGCAGCTGGAGGTACCAGAGAGAACCCTGGCTTCTGCAATCACCATCCGCAAATGTGGTGCCTTTCCCAAGGTGTTTAAAAGAATACCTAACAAGGTGATTTCTATGCTTATGATGAAAAGATGTTGTATTTCACCTGTCAAAAGAAGACTCATAGCCAGGTGTGGTGGCACATGCCTAAAATCCCAGCACTCGGGAAGCTGAGGCAGGAGGATTGTTGTGAGTTCAAGGTCAGCCTGGCTAAATGAATTCAAGGCCAGGCTAAACCAATAGCAAAGTCCTGTGTCAAAAATAAGGCAGACCGGGGGCTGGGGATTTAGCTCAGCAGCATAAGCGCCTGCCTTGCAAGTGTGCGGTCGTGAGTTCGATCCCTGGTACCGATAAAAATGAAAAAGACAAAAAAAAAAAAAAGGCAGACCTGTAAGTCGTGTAGACAATTCTGGCAAAAGATGAGACCGTTGTGTCCTGCCCACATCTCTGGAGCCCATTCCCTGTGTAGCCTTGGGCTTTGGTTACCTCTGCTCTTGTTAGAATCTGAACAGGCCTTTGCACAGTAACCTGTCTGAATTATAGATCTGGCCATGTCATTGTGTGCCATCAAAGCGCAAGTACATCGTGGGGCACATGGGAGCTGGGGCTGTTCCCACCCAGCAGGGCCCGAGTGGCTTTTTCTCAGCACTCTCCACCGTGTGATTTCTACTACTTTGATTGTGCCTGCTCTGGGGCCTCCCAGGACCTCCAGGCTCATCTGTGAAATTGTCACTCCTTCAGCCCCTCTAAGCAGGGATCAGCAGAGCCAGCATTCCATGCTCAGAATTGCACACTCAGAGTGACACACTCAGCATCACACACTCAGCGTTATACACAGTGTCACACGCTCGGTGTCACACACCTGGAATTACACGCTCAGTGTTACATGTTCAGCAGAGCACGCATAGGGCACTGAGTCCTCAGCTGGACCTTGCCACACACCAGCGCCTCACTGGGGGCAGCTGGGGCCTGCTGTGGCCCTCAGGGCCTCCTTTACTCAGTTTTTAAGGTTTCAATGACAATCGCTTGTCTTTGAGTAATGGCCTAAATCACCTCTGAACGATTGATTTACCCATACGAATCTATCTGGACCCGATATAGCCTGAAATGAGATCTGGGTGGGGCATCCCCCAGAATGGTTAAGGACCGCCCACCACCCTCCAAGGCCTGCATGGCTCTCCTTTAACCCTGCAAGGCCCAGGCCCAGGACGGAGCAGGGGCAAGGGTCTACCATCCCATGCGGTCAAAGTAGCTCAGAGAAAGCTGGATAGGCACAGGCCAGCAAGTCCAGATCCTCAGCGTGCCTGCAAGTTGCACCAGCTGACTGGCTCTGAGCAATCGGGCCCCAGTGTTGGTGCTGCTGTACCCCGGGCCCTTTGTCTCCCTAACCGCTCGAATGGGTTCCCCTTAGCTGTTAGGTCTAGGGCATGCTGTGGGGAGGTCAACTTCATGGTTCTTACGTGGGTACTTAGCCCTCGGGCCATCTTCCTTTCTCCCTCAACTGGGGCTCCCTGCTCCACGTTCCCAAAGGAGCTTATGCCAGGGTGACAGTGCTTTGAGCATCGCACTCTAATCAGGTGTCAGATGTCTGCCTGTCTAACCGACAGTGAACGCTTTGACAACAGGGCCCATTTATTTATATTCCTGCGTGTTCAGAGCCTCGAACTAGCCCTGGCACAGGATAGACAATCACTGAGTCTTTGGTAACTGGGTGAATAAAGGGAGAAAATACATTTTATTGGTTAGGGAACACTAAGAAATACTGCTTTATTGACTTAGCAGCTTCTAAGCCGCTAGGAAGATAGTATTATATAAAAAATGTATTAGAAGAAACTGGTTAGTCAGCTTTTAAAGAGCTGTTTGCTTGGTAGACAACTCACATTTAGCCATGACTTCTGAGATTAATCGAATTTGTATCTCTAGATGTTCGTAAATCCATTTATCTAAAATGAGCAACTGAAAATATCTTAACATTTGTAGATTTCTTTGGTAAGTCTAATAAATCAAAACTTTAGTTTTACAAATACCTTAAAGACTGAAAAAATAGCTCCATATATTTTCAACTACTTTCGATACTTCACATTCTAGTTTTAGTACTATGTAGTTTCATTCCCCCATGGAAAGTTGAAAAAATGGTGTGTGTTTTGCATCACTTTGTCACATTTTCACTCTCATCTCTCTGCTGTCTGTCCTTATCTCCACTACTATGCTAATATTTATTGGACCACTTGTAACTATGTAATTAAATTGAGGAATGTTGCTCCCTGTGGTTCCTGAAAGTCTCTCAAATCTCTCTGTCTCTGCCTCTCTATCTCTGTCTCTTTCCCTTCCTCTCTCTTTTTCTGGGAATTAAATCTAGGACACTGAGCATGGTAAGCAAGCGTTCCACCACTCAGCTACATCCCCAGCTCAAAAAGTCTGTGTGTGAGGGTGTATGCAAAATACAAATATTTTTGCCAAATAATTTGTGAGTTACAAATATCAAGGTACTATAGCACTAAGCCTCTAAATATTTTAGTATATACCTCCTATTGATAAGAAAATTTCCTTTATAATTTCTAAGAAATTTAATTACATAATATCTAAAATTCAATCTATATTCACTAAGTCCCTAAGTTGTGCATAAAATACCTGTTTGTCGTGTCTGTGATTCCAATCAGGCTTCAAACACTTCACTTCCAAATGCTTCCCCTTTGGAGGAAGGTGGTGCATCCGCTGGGTTAAGACAGCGGATTTCAGGTGGACAGACTGTGTGACGGGGGTTCATGGTGGAGACAGCTCCCGGGCCTGGCCCACCTCTTGGATGCCTTTACTGGCACCATGGCTGAATGTCTACTGGACTAAACAGACTTCAAGGCCACCAGCACTGCAGGAGCACTGAAAAAAGGGTTTAAAGGGTCCAAAAGGAAGAAAGGAAGGAAGCAAAACATGAAGGAAGGGAAAGAGGTATAAAGGGAGAAAAAAAAGAGAAAACTGATGAGTGGCAAAGTGCCCAC